TTACTTGGTTCAAAATTTATATTATTTACATCTATATAGTATTATCTCCAATCAACGAGTTTTGTAATTCACCAGGCCCTGAAGATGACCCGAATAAAGGTCGAAACGTCCGCAAAAAAATGAAAAAGGTGTTTGTCCAAAATATTTTATTCCTGATCGCCCCTCACGACTTCAACCAATTACTAATAATTATGACGAACATCTATTCTGATCGGATAATGAAATATTTTTAAAAAATAATAGTAAGTGAGAATTTTTTAATACAAACAAAAATTTAATTGATTCAAAATAAATGCATATTTACGTTAAGTTTCGCAATTAATAAATTTCTATATAACTACTTATTTTGTGTATAATTCAATACTTGTAGTTCAGAATGTTTAATAATTAAATTGACTCACAAATCGGCTAATTCAGTGAGGGATTGATTCGTAGATTTGGATTAATAACTAACTAAACTAGCAAACTAAAAAATAATGGGTAATTTGGTTTATTGGTTGCTTTCTTGGTAGATATAAGGGTTGGTTAGTATAACGTGTTTGGTTTTATTGTTTTGGTTTGATAGGCAGGTTTTATTGTTTCTAACTATATGTGACTGGTAGGTAAGTATGGTTTAATCACAAACTGATATGTTAGTTGGTTAATTTGGTAAGTTCGAAGGTAAGTGAATTGATGGATGATTCTGTTAGTTAGTAATTTAATAATTATGTTGATTAGAGATCTACTGATTGGACGATTTTATTTGATTTATTGTTATGGAAATATAAATTAAAATTAAGGAAGCAATCAGTTTGTAAGTAATTGGTTAGGTTAGTTAGTGAAGTAAGTTAGATGTAAGTAGATTTTATTATTAAAATTATTGCTAGGTTTGTAATGTAGTCATTTTATTGGTTGATAGAGAAGTTTGTTTGTGAGTTGAAATTTCATTGACGTAGTTAATCGGTAAATTTGGTGATAGAGAAGTATTTTAGTGAGTAAATTGGTTGGTTAGTTGCTTTGGTTGTATGTAAATCATTTGTTATTTGGTATGATTGGTGATAATATGATGGTTGATTTGGTATGTAATTGGTTATTTGGTTATTTAATTGTCAGTAACTAGTTTGATTAGTAGGTAGGAAGATTGGTTAAAAATTAAGTTGACCAATTGGTAGATAAGTCAGTAAATCGGTTAGTAGGTATTTTAGTGAGTTCGTTGGTAGGTAAGTAAACTGGTAAGTAATTAAATTGATTGGATTGTAAACTAGAAGTTTATTTGACAGACTGGTAGTTAAATTACTTAATTGGTTGATGGGTGTTTTAGTAAGTTGGTTGGTAGGTAAGTAGACTGGCTAGTAATTAAGTTGATTGACGTGTAAATTACAAGTTTATTTGACTGATTCGTAGGTAAGTTTGTTAATTGGTTGGTGGGAAGTATTTTAAAGAGTTGGTTGGTGTATAAGTAGATTGGTTACAATTAAGGTGATTGGCATGTAAATTAGAAGTTTAATTGACTGAAAGGAGGTAAGTTAGAAAATTGGACGATGGAGAAGTATTTTAGTTGTTGGTAAATAAGCAAGTTGGTTAGTAATTAAGTTGATTGACTTGTAAATTGGTAAGGTTAATGAAGAAGTATTGTAATGAGATGGTTGGTAGATAAGTAGATTGGGTACTACATCAATTATTTTGTACGAAAGTTGTTTGGTTGATTCAGTATATAATCGGGTTAGTATTATTAAGTAACTAGGTTGGTGGGAGGTAAATAGATTGGCAGTTGCTCAGTAAATAAGTTCATTTTTGTAAATTAGAAGTTTAGTAGAGATATTGGTTGATAGGGAAGTATGTCATCAGAAATCAATTAGATGGTTGGTTATTACATTAAGCCATTCCATTTGGTTGTTTGATTGATTTAGTATTTAATTGGGACAGGTGGTTTATTAATCATTAGGTAAGTAGTTTGAGAGTGTGTAGAGATTAGTGACCGTTAATCGATAGTTATTCAGATATCGTGAGATGCGGTCGGGTGTGATGTAGGTTTCAGAAAAACATTTTCTTTATCGTGCCAACGTTTCGATCTTTTATTGAGATCATCTTCAGGGCCTGGGATTTACAAACAATGTTTACATTTAATAATTAATTAATATAATTTCCTAAATGTATTTGTTAAATGTAAACATTGTTTGTAAATCCCAGGCCCTGAAGATGATCTCAATAAAAGATCGAAACGTTGGCACGATAAAGAAAATGTTTTTCTGAAACCTACATCACACCCGACCGCATCTCACGATATCTGAATAACTGTAGTTTGAGAGGTTGATAGGTAAGTAGATTGGTTGTCCGTCAGGTTGATTAGTAATTAAGTTGAGTGACAGATGTTAGAAGTTTACTGATCGGTAGTAAATCAGTTATTTGGTTCAATGGGAAGTATTTTAATGAGTTAGTTCGTGGGTAATTCTGCGTAAATTATTTTGCTCGTAATTTTTTTTGCTGAAGTTGATATGTATTTGGGTTAATCAGTAGGTTGATTGGTAGTAGGTTAGAAGGTTAAATGGTAGTTTGATAGGCAAGTTGGTGGGTTAGTTTGTTGGTTGATTGGCAGTTGAACGATTTTCATCTGAGAATACTTGTATCATCATGAGAAACGACTTAAACTGAAAATATTATTGACCTTTTACGCCCGATTTTCTTAGTTTTTTTTTTAAACTGAAGCCGTGGGTAACTGTCTCAAGATGGCGTGTTGCGGTTTTGTGACTTTAATGCCGTGACAGGGCGTTACCTATGTGACAAAGGTGCGAATTGAACACGGGTGCCCTCAGAGCGCCCACATGACTGATCCCATTCACCAAGAACCCTTCAAAGGCGGCCCTCAATGTCAAAGGTATGCCGACACTCCAAAACCTTTATCTTGTCACCACCTTTACACAAAGTGACCTCTGTGCGAGGGCAATAAAGAAAATAAATGAATTAAATTCGTCACCCTCTTCTGGCTGAAAAGCTAAATTTGTTTTCCCAGAAAAGCAGTTTATCAGAGGATGGTTGTACTTCTGGGCTATCTAAAAAAATGATTCCCTCTACAGTAAAAAACCGCTTTGTAACAAAACGCCTTTGCATTATGTATCAATTTTATCCTTAAATTTCTTACAAACCTGACCTCTTGGATATTACGTGACTCCAACTGTTAACAAATATTTAATAAATAATGCCAATTTGGTTCAGATTGTTTAACTGCTGATAAACTAGTTTCAACGGCATGCAACAGCAAACAAAAACGACACGTTCAATTTTATTTAAATTTGTGTTAATTTTTAAGCGCTAGTTAAGCAAATACTAACAAAACAAAGACCAATCAAGTTTTGTTTTTTGTTTGTTCAAATAAACCTATGTTACAATATAATTGGCATTATTGCAAGATGCTAATGAAAAGTCATCAAAGTCACATAGAAATCATAAACCAAATGAAACAAAACAACCCTATGAAATAAGCAAATAACAAGAAAGTGCAACGATCTTCTTGCAAGATTTTAAAATGTTAGAGAGAAACTCAGAATCCTTGACTGGGCACTGCAAGCACAAATGACATCTGAAAAATATTGAAGTCAATGGACACAGTATATTCTGATAAAAATAGAAAATTTAAACTGACAGGCTTTAGACTAGACCCTTCTACAGAATTTTGTTTTGGGGCCAGAAAAAAATACAACATAAGCGTATGAATAAAATTAGGCAGATTATTAAAATGCATTGATGAATTAGGAATGATGTAGTATAGCTTAAATCCCTGAGTTCTACATATATATTATTCCTAATTTGTAAACAGTACGAAGAATGAAATGTACAGACCTTTTATTGTAATAGGCAGAAAAAACTTTTTTCCATCAAGTAGCCTATAAATAATATTTTATTATTACAGTATTAGAATTTTTCTTACTCTATTTTTTTCTTGTGAGGAATGCAATGGCCAAATTATTAGGGCATCCTTGGTGTTTTATGTTTTTAATTTGGAAAAAAATTATACATCAATTTGTTCCGTAGTGTGTGACACTAATGGATAGTTGGTCGTTAAGTCTTCTATATGACACTTCACTTTTAATGTTTATTTATTTTTATTTCAATATTCACTTGAATACATTGTGTGCACAATGACCTTAATTTTCTGTTCATCCCAGTGCTTCAAGATCTACTTTTCAGTGTTTTGGGGAATCACCAGTCAGACGGTAATCAATTAAAATTTTTAACTCATTCTTACTGTGATTAAACATTTGGAAAAGTAAAAATTAAAATGGTACAAATATAACAGAAATTATACAGATCTGAACTAAATGAAATAAATAATTTATTATATTATTGTATGTAGTTTAAAAAAACCTATTACACGAGTTTTTATACAATTTTCTATTCATTATTTCTAATAATTAGATAAACAAGTCAGATCTCTTACAAAGGTGTTTACTTACTGTTCTATTTACAATCTATAATAATAAATGCACAAATAAACAAGTTGATTTAACCCATATTCTGGTTTTATTATGTATTTTTGATATCCTTTTTGATAGTTCTTTATGTTCTTAATTAATTTCTTTCTTTGTCACCATTTTGACTTCCAGAGGGAAAAATAATATTAAGGGCAATTCATTAGCCAAAAAAATCAAAACTTAATAGCACCACCATAGATAACCAAAAAAATTTGAAATCAGGAAAAAATTAGATAAAAAAACTGTAACATTTAAAACACACATACGCGCGCGCACACGCACAAAGTGCCAAACTACCAGACTAAAAGATTGGCATAACATTAAGTTGTAATAACTACAAAGAGGGAGGAAATATGTGAGTTTAAAAAAAAGTCAGTAATCTAACCTAGAAATTTTAAAAATTTCAAAATTGTACATCCAAGAATCCTGAGTACTATAAAGATTTATAAATTTTAAAATAAAAGTGGGTCAACCAAACAATGAATTCTCTCTTAAAATAATCACCTTCTTTATCATAAAATGACAATCTTGAGGATAGAATATCATGAAAAATACATTAAATAATATTTTATTTTACATAAAAGATAAAATTTATATTTCAACAATTTTCAAAACATCAACTGTTTACTGATTTGAGCTAATTTGTTTTCCGTTTCTTCTTCAAAAATATAATTCACTTTGTCCAATTTACAATCCCTGAAAACATTCCCTGAGAAACCTTGTACATCATCTGAGAGTGCACAATGAAGAATTGTCTGACAGCCCTAAAAAAAAATAATAATAAATAAATAAAATAAAAATAATAATTATATGATACCAAATGAAGTTAGCTTACATTGCATGGTCTTCTTAAAAAGAAAAACGCTATTGGCAAAAATAGTAGGTATTGGAACCATTTTAACTTGCTATATCTGAAGAGGTCTGTGTAGCAAAAACCAGGGCATACACCATACACTTCAACCCCTTTGTTGTCCAACCTCTTCGACAATTCACGGCAATAATACATTTGTGCAAGTTTTGAGTTGTTGTAAGCCTGGTTGCGCCTCCCGACAGGGAATTTCTTATCTCCTTTTATAGTTTCAAAATCGATCATTCCACCTTCAAGAAGTTTTGAAGTAACAAATACTATTCTGTAACAATGTCATAAACAACAAATTAAAAATTTAGTACAAATTATAAAATTTTACATGAAATATAACTGTAAATATGCATAGCTGTTCTTTTAAATATTTTTCTATTAAACTATTACATTTAAACTAGTTCAGACTTTAAGAATTAAACAAATTTTACCTCAAAACATTTAGTTAATATTTTGCTTCAATTTTTTAAAAAAGAAATAAAATTCATTTATAGTTTTTTTAAACATAAATGAAAACATGTAATAATTTATACCTGCTAGGTGCTGATTCTTTTAATCTCTCCAGAAGTAATTCTGTTAAGAAGTAGTGACCCAGATAGTTTACACCAAAATTAATCTCAATGCCATCAACTGTCCTCCGATTCAATGTTGGTGGTACACTTAGTCCAGCGTTGTTTATAAGCACGTGCACTTTGGGAAATGACTTCAAGACCTCATCTGCAAACTTCATTATCGAGTCTTTGGATCCAAGTTCCAACTCCATGGGGATCTGAAACATTAATATTTATTTAGGTTTAATTTGTGAAATGACCATAGTTCCATTTTTGTTCTAAGTTTTTAATACGATCTTATGATAACGTACCCATGGTTCCCATGTGCTCCAACAGTCATATAAAATAATTACGAAAGCTTTAAAATTTATTTATGGGACAAATAGGGAGCTTTTTCGAGCTTGTTCAAGTCCGAACTAATTGGGGCTGATCCCTATCCTGATTAGCAGAAATTCAAATTACCCAATAATGCAGAGGCAAGTATGAAGGGTTATTAAGGAATGGATGTATAAATGTACAATAAGTTTTTTTTAATCATTTTGGCGACACACATCTGATGGGCCAAAACAGAAAGGATAGACACAAAATGTTTTGAAACTAAGTACAGGTTCATCACCCTGCAAACCTACTTTAAGCTTCCTTTAATAAATTGAAAAATATTTTTGGTTAAAGGAGTAATCTAGATTTTCCAGGACCGTCACCTGATATCCTGGCAAAAATGCATCTCCAAAATCATAAATGGAGTTCAGGTCTGATGAGGGGGTGGGTGTAAGCCCAGAAACACATAGCCAAAAATAAAATACAATGCTTCAAAAGTTGATACAGTTTAATATATTCAAGGAACCTACTTTTGATAATTTTTGAACATTTTGGGAATACACATGTGACAGGCTCGGAAACTCAAACTACAGGCCCATTACCTTGCAGACGTAATTTTGTTCGTTTTTAATTTTGATGAAACATGTGTGACAGGCCAAAACAGAAGGGATAGGTAGAAAAAATTTCAGACACTACCAAACTATAGGCCTATCACCACGCAAACTTACTTTAATTCATTTTTTATCACTTGGGGATAAACGTCTCATAAACGAAAACAGAAAAGAATAGACAAAATGTTTGGAAACTATCACTACTTTTTGACAGTCCATCACCCACAGACCTACTTTGTTTGTTATTGATTACTTTGCTGATACACTTCTGTCAGGCTAAACCATCAAAGGTAGACAGACCAAAATGTTTGAAAACTATCAAACTACAGGTCCACGACTTAATAGACCTCAAGAGGAAATTTTACAATGTACAAGTGCAATGAAATCGGTACTTGAGTTTAGAGTGGACGAGGCTAATAACAAAGAAAAGTGGATCACTTGAATAACATTTCAATTTAACTGGAAAAAAAGTACACTTTGCAAACTAAAAAATGGCTTCTCTGCTATCCAAAATGTGTCTGGATTAAGCCAGGATGTACAGAGCTAAATATTGTAGGAAAAATACCAAAATGCACAAAAAGGTAGAACAGCTCAATTTATTCAAGAAAATTTTTAAAAAGGAACCAATCAAAAAATGAGGAGTTCAAGGACAAGATATGCTTTTAATAATTTTGGGAATACACATCTGCCAGGCCAAAACAAAAATGTACGATGTATACAGCTAAATATGGTTAAAAAAAGAACTGAATGGGGAACGACAGTGGCCGAATGGTAAGGGTGTCCGACTTGACCATGCTAGTGGTTCTATGCTTGAAACCCAACACAGGTTAAGCCCATCTGTATGACAAGAAGAAGTGAAAAAAACTATGTTTTTTCTTTATGCATTCAATTCTCACTTTGACAAGCTGAAAATTTTCAGTAAAAATTCTGCATCAACATTGCGATTTTTCATTTTCACATTGTGTTTGTTTTGATATGGTCAGTTTCTTTGAAAAACAATTTTCAACCAGCCCTGAAAATTGAAAATAAAGAGTAAAACTATGGATGAATGGAACAAGCGCACAGAAGAGAAAATTTCTTTTAATCTGTTAATCAAAACAATAATGTTAGTAAATATTAAGATAATCCATAAAATTGGGAAAAAATGTAAACAGTAAACATTCCTTCAATACAACTCTAAAAATAATTCCGTTGTGCATGAATGTCAAATCAGTTGAGACTCTTAAAAAAGATTGGTGAAATGTTGAATTTTCCTCACTGAAGATGGCACAATGCCGAAATGTGTTTGAATAACTCAAAAACCAGTGAGTGGAGACAGAGCCAGAAAGTGACCCTGTGCCGGTTGAACATAAGAAAGTGACTAGAATAAAAACAACAGTTCAATCATAATTACCAATTCTCCAGTTTGGATGGAGGACCTTATATCCAGGATGACTTCCTTGGCTTTCTCCATGTCCCTGCATGCCATGACCACCCTGGCACCTCTAGAAGCGAGCTCTTTCACCGTCTCTTTTCCCAGGCCTGATGAGGCCCCTGTCACGATGAACACCCTGTTCTTTTGAGACCTCCAGTCCCTGCAGTAGCCCCAGATATGCTCTCTGTACTTCCTGATAAGGAGGAGCACCAAAGGAACGCCCGTGCACCACAGAGCCAGACCCATTTCTCAGTAATGTTCCTCGTGTCAAATCAAACAGTAAAGAATAATTTCCATTTCTGCACTATTAGTTATCATTACAACTTTCAGTTTTGGTCACCGAGGGAAACCGTGTTCAAAGTTTCAGAGTTCAGACTATCATAGATACCAGTCTACCAGATCCTTTGTGTTCTTTGTTGTGAAACTGTAACTGTATTGCTGTATTGTAGTCTGTAGAGTTTACTTCATTATTAGTAGCAGAAAATAGAAGCTTTAAAAATATTTACCCTAAATTTCATTTCCTTATAACTCTTACGGCCAATAGAGAAAGCTTCAAATAAAGGACTTCTACTTATTCTCAAATTTAATATATTTATGACAACTAATTAAAAATTGCCTCACTTATAAAGATAGAATAGATAAGATAATCAGGAATCTGGGAAAAGCCAAGAAAGCTAATTAAGTTATTCAATTGAAACAATATAGCACTATGTACATTGCAAACAATCTTGTATGACAGATTATACTACTTATTACTCTTATTATTACTATAGGAAAAAATTGAGAATATTACTTTTATTATGACTTTTTTAATTAACCTGGAGTTCTTCTGTGGTGGCTCAAAGATAGGAAATGGTACGGGTAGGTGCAGACGGCAGAAGAAGACTAACTTGGACACCACATGACCTTCACCCACCCACAACCATCTTTTAAACTGAACTATTAGCCATAGAAATATGTACACATTAAATAAATAATAAACATCTCAATGGTAGTAGTACCTAGGACAGTCAGTCCTAAAGACTTTCCAAGCTAACAAGATCAACTCAACATTTTTCTGGAACTGCCTAAATGCCTTAAAAAACTGAGTTTTACTAATAGCCTAAAATATAGGACCCAGGATATGAGGGAATTTCAGAAAACAAGGCAGTAGATTTACTTGCTTAAAAGCAAGCTTTGGGAGAACTCATGGGGCCAAATTTTGAGGAATATAGCTTGGAATCTTGGATAACTAAAGAACACAACATAAACTATGAGTACAAACCAAGGAGATTACTCACAAAATAAACTGATGGTAGAAAGAAGAAATCTTACTAAAGTGAACAAAAAGGAATTAAAAACTGCTCCGGTAAATTACCACTTTAAAAAAGTGGGACTATCAACAGAAGAACAATGTTGATTATGACTAGATTATATATGCAACTGCCCCTCAATAGCTAGTAAAAGGCTATAGTACTTTTAAAAACCATTTTTGATCTATGAAGATTCCAAGAACTTTTTTCATAAAAAAATATTTCATAAAAAAACGAAAATGTTTAGTAAATCCATTAGCAGAGATTGGTACAGTAGAAAAAAGTTGAAATCTTATGGCTCCAAATGGGGAAAAATGTCTATTTATTTGCAGAAGATAAAATTATTTCAGAAAAAGAAAGTAAATACCACTAAAGATGGTAACAATGATCAGAAGAATCATTGGTAAATTTGTATTAGTACATAGATTAAGTTGTATTCATTGTATTTTTGAACTCAAAACAATATAAAAAAATAAAACTGTGTGAAATTCATTTTAAAAAATAGTCCATTTAATACAGTAATGCAACTTAAATTTAATTAACGTTGAACACAAGTAATGTAATAAAAAATAAATTGATGTGCTAACTAATACATACAGTAAAAATCAGTGAAGTGTCACCTGTATAAAAAAATTTGGCATTTTATAATAAATTTTAAAAGATTATTTATGTATATTAAGAAGACAATTGGGCCGAGTATAGTGCCCTAATATACACCTGAAAGATTTGAGCTATATGAGGTTAAAACTTTTGAAATTTCAGTTCTGTTTTTGGATAAGATTCAGAAAGTTGAAGAGATGTGTATCAGTGATTCCAATTTGAGAAAGTTTTTTTGGAATAAAAGAGTGGTCAATTGACTCAAAAGCTTTTTTAATATCCAAAAAGACACCAGTAATGAAATTATTATTAACTAGCCATCTCTGCTGATTTTCCAGACAAAAACCGTATTGATATAACTGAAATAATGCTGTTATTTCAATTGATTTATTTGTCATTAATGATATAACTAAGTGATTTATGTATCAACTAACATAAATTCTTTTCCAATAATTTGTAAAACAAAGTAAGTATGATTGTTTTTTGTAACTTGATATTTTATGTTTAAGTTTAAAATTTGAATAAAGTAAAAGAAACTAACGATAAAATGCTTTTTCTTTCTGTGTTGGGGTTTTGTCAGAATGACGTAAACTTGAAATGCAATGACGTTTTAAAACTGCTGATCTTTCTCTCTCTCTCTCTCTCTCTGTCGGTTCCTTGCGTCCGGCAGTTCAGCGTTATCTCTTTGTTATCGCTGATTCACTTTTGTGTTTGTGTACTGGACGGCTGGGTCCCACAAGGCGGGTATTTTTGTGTGAAATTTGTCTAATCATGAGCGGCCACGGTCATGGTCACGGGCACGGTCACGGATGCGACGGCGACCACGACCACGACGAGACGCCGGAGATGGGCCTCCAGTACAGCCTCTTCTCCAAAATAGACCTTGACAACCTCCAGTGCCTGAACGAGGCTGTCGAAGACTCAGGAAAGACCATCTTCAAGCCTTGGGAAAGGAGGCTCGACAGAGAATTGGTATATCTGCTTAACTCGAATAATATAAATCATCTTGTACATCTTATGTCAACTTTCCATGTTCCTCGAGGAATGCTCAGGATCTTTTACCATGGCTTCTCTATTTACAGCTCGGTTTTACAATGTAAACGCCATTTATGACCTTTTTTATTCTGGTTACTAGATACTGAATGAGTTCCCTCTGAGCACTGCAGCTTTACAGCAGATCATACCCTTTCCTGGCTCCATTTTTTGGAGCTCGCAACAAGAGTACAAATTGAACCCTCGGTGAGCGTTGTTCTTCCATTGAAGAAACTCATTGTTGACCCTATACCACCCATACCTCCTGTTAATGAGTGCCATGTCAAGTTTCATTATATGCATCAGAAAAGTAACATCCAGAGGCGATGGTGAGAATTGAACTCATGACCATGGGATATACTAACAGAGTCTGATGCCTCCTCCTCATTTATGACCGACAAAACTAAGTTGTAGGAAAGATAACCAACCATCCTTGTTTTATAAATTAAAATTGGAGTCAAAGGTTGCATTTTTTAAATTTTTTTGGCCTTGTGCAATCGCAAGAGAAGCCGACGTTCTCCAGACAGCGACAGACCATGGCCACTCAGCAGAATGGGCAGTCATGCTCTTTGTTCCTTTTTTTTCTCTATTTTTATAACGAGGGCACCTGGAAGATGTAGATAAAAACCATTGACACAAAACCTATATGAAAAAGTCTCCCTACGTTCGGGGCTAAACATCACCCAGAAAGCACAAAAAGCCCCACTGCAGCCAGCCCACCACCACCCTGAACGCTACCGCTGCACCCCGCCTCTCCAACACCTCAGACAACGCAACACAAAAATCAGAAATAGCTTCGTGAGAAAAGTCAAAAGCAACACAATTTTTCTGGAGAAAGAAGTCATGTACAGAAGCGATGGGGGTGCCTCAAAGCACTGAGGTCCCTGAGACCCCACCCCGGGAGCATTGACTAATCAAATATCTTTGAAATTTTACTATCCCTGGTGAATTGATATAGAAGTACGTAAACGGCGTCTCTACCCTTTGAAACTCGGGCCTCCAAACAGAATGGTTTTACTACACACAGCAAGGAATAGATCCTCTTCAGGAAAAGATTTCTCCTCTACTAGATCTTTCCTAGATTGCCTTTTGTACTTCTAGATTACACGTAGTCTTCCTCGCAGATGGGTTCCTTCCAATCTTGCCTTAAAAGTCTTCTTTGGGTATTGGTTATCATCATGCAGTAAACAGACCAACATGTAGTAGTTGTACACTTTTACCCATAATTTCTGATCATGTTGATCTGCCTGATTTGGTCTGGCAGATGAGTTTCAGCTTCTCACCATCTTCAGTAATGGGTCTGGCCTTTTGTATGTCACAAAACAATTTCAGGGTACAGACCAGCCAACCTCTAACAATGGCAAAAGGCTGATACATGTCTGGCAGAACAAAATCTATGATAGGCCGACCAAATGCAGGTTCATCACCTTAAAGACCTCAAAAACCATCTCAAAATATATGCTTATTTTATGAAGACTTTTAAATTTATGTGAAATCTAGGCAAAGAACCTGTTATTTGACGATCAAATTTGATAAGTAGATTGTTTGAAAGTACAAGTAAGAAGGTCTTTGCAGTTTCTGAATTTTTCTTTCATCTTGTTTTTATAATAAATTTATTTAATTAATTATTAATTATAATTGGGAAACCATTAAATAAATATGTCCACAAAATGGCATGACAATGACCGAGGCTCTACTTATTCATAGTATAAGCTAGTCGACTATTTTTGCCCACACCCCAAAGTTTTCTTTTTTACCATACAATAAATGATTATAAATTAATTTAATTTCAGTTTGTTGAGAGTGATGCAGATGAAGAATTGCTCATAAATATACCGTAAGTTACAAAACATTTTGTAATTGAAATTGATTTATAATTTTTACATAAAGGTGTAAAGTTTATGTAAAACTAGATTCATCATGCTCTATGTGATTTCAACCCCTTCAACTATCGTGATTTCAATCTCCCGGTGGGTTCAAGTCCCACTCGTAACACTAATTTTTCATCAACCACACTGCGTAAAAATTATAAATCAATTTAAATAATCACTTTGGTTAACTAGGACCAACAAAAACATAAATTTTATCATATAATAAACGCTTCTAATTGGTTTATATTGTTATTTTATTATAGATTTACTGGCAACATCAAGCTGAAAGGCATAATTGTGATAGGTGGTGAAGATCAGACTCACCCTTCAAAAATGAAGCTGTATGGTTTAAAATTACCAAAATTTATATTCGTTTTGTTTGACAATTTTTTGTAACGATTGATCTTAGGTATAAAAATATACCTCGTATGACTTTCGACGATACGAGTGTACCCGTGGACCAAGAGTTTGATCTCCATCCTGATGCAAATGGCACGTTGGAATATTCGACGATGTAAGAAAATTATTTTTATAAGTGGCAATGTTTTATTGCACTCCGTGTCTATTTCAGGGCGGTGAAGTTTTCAACGGTACACCATTTGACTGTCTATTTCCCACAAAATTTTGGTGCCTTAACTACCAGGCTGTATTACATCGGGCTAAGGGGAGAATTCACTCCGGCCCACAGACACGGTGTTACCATTTGTTCCTATGAGGCCAAGCCGAACGTGGCAGACCACAAGACGGATGTTTTTAATATGGCGGCAAAACAAGTGCAATGACCTCAGGCCTCAGTTCTAAGTAATGAAACATTTTTCTAATAAAGCTGATAGGAACAATTTTACTCTTATTTTTATTACTGACTTGAGTTGAGTTTTGTGATAACGATTAAAGTGGAGTAATCTTGCATTTGTGTTTTGTAACTTGTGTCAAATTCTGTATTTTTAAATACCATGTAAATTTTCTTAGAAATCCAATGATTTTTTTTTTAAATAAAAGTGTCTTTTAAATTTTGAATGTTGTGTTTCCCAATAACTATTTTTGAAGTTTTATATTATAAATAATTTTCTTTAAATTAGGAGTATCCAAGAGTCACATGGTTTTTATAAACAGTTAGTATTTCACATTTTTCTTCTATGTTTCAGGCTATTTTTTTATGTCCGTTATCAGGAAAACCTTAGCAGTCTCGCCTACTATTCCATCGGTCTTTTTCCCATATAAGAAAGCTTCCCCCATATAAGAAAATTGTCTCTCCTCAACAGGGCATTTAAAAAAATAAAAATGCCTCTGTCTCAGCCAACAAGCTAAAGAAGAGTGTGATTTGCAAAAATCAAATCTTTCCCCTTGTAACTCGCACTCTTCTCTTTATTCACTTTGTTGTTAATAATTTGTTGGAATCGCGAGGAGCGGTCGAGAAATAGGCAGTTTAGAAAAATACCTTTTTATTTTATTTTATTTAATTTATTTATTTATTTATTTATTTTTTTTGCCGTCATTTCGACCTTTATTTGGGGCATCTTCAAGGCCTGGGTAAATTATTATATGTTTTGTAATTTACAAAAAAAAGAAAAAAAAAAGTGTTTTTTCCAAGTACCTCATTCTTTATCACTCTTCACGATTTTAAAAATTATGAAACAACCAGTCATTAAGAAACACACATTTGTTTTAATTTTCACTTTGTTCTTATAGTGTCCTTTTGTGGAGAGACAATTGAAAGCTTCCTTAAATTAAAAAAAAAAAAAAAATGGGGATGGTAGGAGAGACTGCTACGGTTTTCCTGATGATGGGCAGGTAAAAAGACCTGAAACATAGAAGAAAAAGGTGAAATAAACTAACCTTTTATAAAAACCACATATCTCTTGGATACCCCTAATTTAATGAAATTCTTTCAGGAAGAGAGAAAAAAAAAGACGTGTAATCAACTACGATAATTTAAATAAACTAATTTTCCTATCACCAAGCCATTGTATGACTAAAATATACATCTATTTTCTCCCAATGTGATATTGAATAATATACATAGACAAAATATTTTCCCTATAACATTCTAAGATAGGTGACTATTTTTGAAACATTGAATCTTATTAATATAAAAAATCAAACTGGACCTTAGAAGAAAAGAATCAATAATTGTGAATCCAATCGATATCCTCTATTCATAAAAATTGAATTATTTGTTATAATAAATGTAAATAATTAATAAAAGAATTTTATTTAAAAAAATCTCACTTCTATGTGTTAGCTTGGTTCTTCTAGCGAAAGTAGTAAGTTTGCAATTTTAGTTAAGGATAATCAATAGCTCATATTGCCTTGCTCCCCTTAAAAGGGTTCATCTTTGTCTTCTGACCAAATAGTTTCAAGGTTTTAAAACACTAATAAATTATTTAAAATCTGACATAATTGATGATATTACGATACTGATATAGAGAAGAGTTTATATTTCCTATTTTGACGTAAGCAACCTTTTTATAGGAATTTGGTCAAATACAACACAAGAAAACACTAAGTTTGTATTGTTATATTTAAAAAATAAGTCCTGCATACATTCACTCACAAACTAATACACTTTTTCTTTTGGTGGGAACAATCATAATCAATGTATAAAAACAAATTAACAACATCTATAGTAATTTATCACAAATATATTGATAAAAATGACTCCGAGGTCATATTTTTTAATTAAATTTTTATTTTAAAATTTTTTTTACACTTTTTAGATAGTAATAACTTAACACATTTTTGTACCTATTTACAAAATAATGAATCATCTTCATTAGAAATAATTAATACTCTATATTATATATATACACATATGTTTGATTTTGGATTCTATTAACAGGTTTTATGACATTCTAAAATTTCAATTACATAATAATGGAATTGTGAATAATAGCACAACAATTTGAAACCACAAAAAAGCTATGTTTTACATTTAACAATTAAAAAACTGAGTCTAATATTGGACTTATGATATAAAATCCAAGTTGATATAATTATTTTTGTAGCTTAACCATGCTGAAATTTAATCATCTTTTAATCTTAGGATTCTTCCTTTGATTCTCCGAAAGGTTAAGCAGGAAGACCTGTTGTTGGTTCGTTGGATTCTAAGGTTGTGCTAACTGTTGTGGTTAAATCGACAAAGAGTATGTCTGGATATGTACCTGACTCGACTGTCAGTTCTGTGTCTTTTGTCGTTTGTTCCCCTTCCATGGTCGTGATTTCAGGGGCTTCGGTGGTCGTTGTCGGTTTGGGAGGTGGCTTTGGAATTTCTTCTCCAAAAATGACATTATCGATGTAAAACATGGTGCCGAGGTTGTAGACAAAAACTTCTTTTTCGATTATGTTGGCTCCTTCAACTGTACCATTTGTACCTAAATCAAACCAATTAATATTTCTAAACAAAGAAAAATTGTATCCAAAATAAACGTCTACCTTTACGCCTAGTTATGTGAAGAGTTCGATTGGACAAAGATGTAAGAGTAGTATTATCTACAATATCTCTATCATACAGTCTTCCTTTCACAAAATGGCTCAATAAAACTTGTAATCCTTCTTTGTTCGACAGTAAATTATCAGGTGCATTTTCAAGGCCAAGTTTTTTGAATGCTTCATCTGTCGGAACAAAAAATGTGTATCCTGGAAAATTTCAAAAAATAATTATTAACAGAAAGTAATTTCTCTAAGATAAAAATGACAGAATTGTACATTCTATACATACCGGCTCCAGGGATATAAGGAACAAGATCAGCAACATTCAAAAACCTTGTTATATGAGAGAAACCTTTCATTGACTCGATCGATAAAAATGTATGACTCAAAAATTGAGAACCAAACCAAGGGAAAGCGAGAAGTGGTGGAGTTTCTTTGTCTCGGTGTTCTTCGTGCAATTTGCCTACAACAGCATCGTCAACGAAGAGCACTTCAGTCACAAACATAATATTCCCTTTTGTCACAGGAGTATCTCCTTTTACCAATTCGACACCATTTGAACTAATCCTGCCATCAGCTAAAACAGAACTTTACTTAGATGATAATATCAATGAGCGAAAAAATAAAAAGAAAATATTGTTTACCACCTTTGACAAATTCAATTTCTTCTCCTCCAAGTGTTTTAACTTTATATTTATTTGGAAGAGTTTCTTGCTTAATGTTTCCTTTAATAAAATGATTTGAAAGTACTCTTTCTGTAAACTCAGGCACTGAGAAAGGATAGAAACCCCAGTCAATTGGATGCCATCTTTGGAAAGCTCGATCCGTTGGTACCAAAACAGTATATGACTCATCTGATTTAAAAAAGTATATATAAATATAATATTTTACTCGTGTGTCACTCAATTGTTTACATAAGAAAATTTAACTACCTTTTTCCAGTAATTTAGTGACATTTGATCTTGCCAAGAGATGTTGGAATACCCTTACTCCTCCCTGGAGAAAAGACAAAACTTCAGTCATGTCCTGAAGGAAGCTGTGATCTCCGGAAATGTCTTCAGGAAATAGATAATTATCGAGGATAATCAATCGACCATTCATAACGTCAATTCTGTCTTGTTGAACCTTTGCGCCGTTTGCCACCAAGCCACCTATAAAATAAATAATTCAAATCTGTGGACTTTTAACATTAAGAGTTTTTCATCATTTTACCTGGCTTAGACTTGATGTTTACTGTCCTCCCGCCGAGCGTTGTGAAACTGAGATCAGCACCGATCCCCAAGTCCAGCCTCTGCCCGAGGACAACATGGTCCAACAAGAGTTTTTTAACGGAATCTGGATGGGATTTTAGCCTTTCAGTCGGGATCTGCATCGAAGCGTTGTTCCGTGGGGCCAAAATTGTAAATTGTTTATCTGTAAAAATACAAAATTACTTTTGATTTAATAATTAATGAAACAAAAAAAAATAATCCGAACACATTTCACAAAATATAGTTCAATAATAATATTTTTTAGTGCAGAGAATAATAAATGTAATAAAACACTGTAGCGTGGTTGTTTCAAATCAATTTGATGTAACAAATGAAATACCAAGTTGCATGTTCATCATCCAACAGAACTCCAGAAAAATATAGGACAAAATTTGATCTAAAAATTGTACAATTGGACAAAAATAAAAATTTGGAGAGCAATAATATCGCTTTTCTACCAATTTACTACAATTTATACTTAACTCTACTTTTAGTTTTGGATGTACATATGAATCCAAGAGACGACATGAACAGGATGTTTGAATTTAACCAAAACTTCCGAATAAACCTAGGTACCAAAAAAGAATGGGAAAGAGAGGGAAGCAACTCTTTCAAGAATGGCACCATCCTTGATGGATCTAGAACACAAGAAGGTACAGGACTTGGAACCAAATACTCAGAACCCATGGGAAAACACCAGTATCTTCCAAGCTGAGATTCATGCAATCGAAAGATGTACCCAACTCAACCTAAGTAAAGTACAAAAACAAGAATATAGCTATCATGTCAGATAGCCAAGCAGCCATCAAAGCACTAAGCTCAAATATAATTAGTTCAAGGATGGTGCTGAACTGCAAAACCAAATTAAACATACTAGGTACGCAGAATAAAGTCAGCCTCTGCTGGGTCCCAAGGCCACGAGAAAGCGGACATCCTTGCAAGGCAAGGAGCTGCTACACCACTGACAGGACCTGAACCCTTCTGTGGCATAGGATTCCTAACAGGACACTGCAAGTTAAATGGACACTTAAAGAAAATTGGAATAATCCAAGATGGCACATGCAGATTCTGCAAAGAGGCAGAAGAGGCACCAACACATTTACTAACAAACTGTGGAGTTACACTAGCCCGCAGGAGGAAATGTCTTGGGATGTATAATGTGACATAGAAGAACATCAACCATTGAAACTGGGCCTATTAATCAAGTTTCTTGATGAAATAGGACTCATCGATGCACTTTAGGCAGAGCACAGGGGCTACAATAGCTCTTAAAGGGCGCAGTATACTATACCCCGAAACTATATCTACATCTACATGTACATAAGAAGACATGAGTAACCCTAGATTTCATTAGAGCTAGAAACATTACGAGAATTTAGAGGGCTATGTTAAGTAATGTAATAATGATACAAAGAAATCTAAAGATTTATTATTTCAAATCTATTGATTTGACTAATGAATGAATGAATGAATGAATGAAAAAGTACTTTATTAGAAAAACAAAAGAGAGTAAAAGAAAAAAAATTGTACATAACCAAAAAGCACATAACAGCAATGTGGCATCAACCGTCTGCCGGAGTAAGACTATACATTTTTAATAACAAGAAACACATTTCTTCTTAAGGAATAAACAAAAGAAAGAGAAAAAAAAACTATATAAGTAAATTAAAATAACAACATATCTATTTATGCACATATAAATAACCAGGGTGTCTCTGATATATACAGTAAACATTTAATAATTGAAATAAAAAACAAGCATTTTCCTGTAGTTCCAGGCTTCCATCGCAAACTTTACCAGATTTAAAGACTCGGGGTTATTTAATAAAGAGATTAGGTGCTCTCTCGTCAACGTGGGCAAGCCTATATGCCGTGCTCGGAATTCCGCTAAAACTTATCTACATCTACATGTACATAAGAAGACATGAGTAACCTTAGATTTCATTAGAGCTACAAACATTAAGAGAATTTAGAGGGCTATGTTAAGTAATGTAATAATGATACAAAGAAATCTAAAGATTTATTATTTCAAGTTTATTGATTTGACTAATATTTCTTTGTATTTTTACAAATAACTAATAAATTAGTTATAGTAAATATTAGTAAAACTAATTTACTAATATTTTTTCTTCTTTTAATTCAACATTACACACACTATGCAGATGCCTCATATCACTGGCGTCTTCAAAAATTTGTTTTTCCAGGTTGATATATAGCTTTGACAGAACCAATTCCACGTTCCAAAAATATCAAAACCACATTTCCGAATGATCAACGACCCTAATAATTATCAATAACTAGACCAGGACGGAATATTAATTAACGGTGTTCACTTTAGATGGTAAGGAGGAGGAGTCCATAACTCGTTAAATTATAATACACGTTCCAACTTATAATCCTTATCTTCATTTAGGATTAAAATCCCTTTAAGATCTTCGAAGGTACAGTAATCAATATGAACCCCTTGGGACGAAGACGATCTCGGATATTACCGCAAGGCCAATAGACGGGTATCATAAACATAATCCATTTATTCATTTCTAGATCCCTGAGATTATATATTATCACTAACGAGAATAATTAAATTATCGAAAGTGTCTTTTAAAGTTTTTGCATAATAAACAATCAAATTTTGAGGATTTTTTTGCGTTGGTGTGGCCGAAATATTTCTCTTCGCTCGTATGCAAGGACTCTCAAGGGCATCTGGCAATTAACATGTAGTTTAAAAGTAATTCAATCCATTGTTCAACAAGTAAAAATCTTCGTACTGTGAGAGTTATCCGATCATTAGAAGGTGCATTGCATTTCATGTGCTAAATGAAAATTTTTCTTTTTAGGGTCCTTAAGACATTCTACCTTTGCGCTCTTAAGTAGACATCTTGGTTTTTGAGACGTGGATGGGAATGACAATCAATTGGACGTGTGTTACCTACGTCTGTTGTCACCCGTATGTTATAGAAATTCCGTAATAGCTCTGAATATTTGGCAATTGTTTGGAAAGGAAATTTCAATCCAATTGGCCAACCGACAAATGCCGGCTGTAATTTCCATTTGGGGCCTGTGTCACCGGACGGAAATACCGACGTCTCTGACTGCAATTAAAGAGGGCCGAGTAGGATGTCGATTTGTCGATTCTCACTAACCGTTTAACGACTGTGACGGAAAAGTCCAGTTGTTGGGCGAGGTGGTTGACTCACGAGGGAATGTCGAAGCGTGCTGGGCTCCCGGTGATTCATTTAAGGCCTTGATAGAAATGAATTATTCAGGACCCGTTAGACTGGGATACTTTCACACATGGGGAGCGATCCTTCCAAGTTTTTTCCGTTTTTTTCCAACAGAAATGACCTTTTCCTACTCTTGAACCACTCTCTTTTCCATAAATACACTTTAAAGCCATATCAATTTTAGAATGTCATCGAATCTTGTGGAATTTTTGTAATATTCATGTAATCACAATCAGAGCATTATTTTTTTGCAGCTAGGTCATTTCAGCCCCGAGCGTAAGTAAAATACTGCAACATACTCAATACCCGGTCACATTAACAAATACATTCTGTTTGGTAGATTGAGTACTGGATATTCCTCCATCTACCAGTTCACTACAATAAAATAAATTCACTATTTTTCGTGGTTCGCTTGTCCAATCAATATCATTCAATTAATTAAGGTTTTAAGTTGAGATAAAAAAGTTAGTGTCACGAGCGGGATTCGAACCCACGGCCTTCGGCCAGTAGTAGTAGCGGCGTATCAAGCCGAAGGCCGTGGGTTCGAATCCCGCTCGTGACACTGACTTTTTTATCTCAACTTAAAACCTTAATTAATTGAACAATAAACTAATCTAATTTGGGGTCCATGGGGTTTTTTGAAAGTTTTTCTCCATAGACCCAAGTCACGAGTGTAACATGAGGGGCGATGGGGATGCTATTTCACCATCACCCTCTCCCCATTCATACAAATAAATACATTCACATCATATACACTGATTGCACTCATTCTGATTCGTAGATGGAGTACTCGATATTCCTCCATCTAGCTGTTCACTGTAATAACACGACACTTGAACACTCTCAACACGACACACAAAAATGACACATCTACATTTTGAGCCCCCCTTCTAAAACCTACGTCACACCATACCGCACCTCACGATCTCCAAATAAGTAATAAACTAATCTAAATTGGGCTCGATGTATACTTGTATAAAATTTTCGCCATCGACCCAAGTCATACACACAACCTGAGGGGCGGTGGAGACCTACTTCACCATCAGCCCTTCCCGATTCACACCAATAAATACATTCACTCACACAAGACACAGAAACACAAAACACGTATTTTGAAGGCTGTATACAATAAAAAAATTCCCAATTCCCTTCGAAAGCGGACCAGGGGACCCTGAAACTCGCTGCTGTGTCCGAGAACCCTTTTTAAATCTGGCGCATGCCTACTCGCACCCTGTAGGGAGCCAAGGCACGACACGCTTCGTTTATGTTGGACACATCGAGCAACCTTTCTCTGCATAAGGGAGCTTTGTCGTTATTATATGCCTTATATAGAAAAACCTTCATTTAAACAATTGTCAACGTACATTTCCAAAATCACGACTACATTCTGCATGTTTGCCAATCTAAAAGGTTTATTAATGTGAACATAAGTCGTACACAGTTAAGTTTGTATCTATTATTATAACATGTGTACTACATGTAAACAATAAGGACTTAATACGTTACAGATTAAGAGAAAAAAAACTGATTTTTTCCACGGACAGAATAAGGCTGGGTTACTTGAATATGCCGAGGCAAGAGTTGGGCGGATTATATCCCGGCCGGTGTTTATATAGAAGTGGGATTAATAAAATAAACTCTTTTCTTTCCGGAAAATAAAATCAGAGGTAATGGGGAGATTCTTTAAAATAAATAAAATTATATAGTGGAACGTCCTTTTCATCCCAGACTTGGGCAACGCCATACGATGCGCTTAGTGCTGGGTCGAAGAAGAAAAGAGGAGTGGCCTGAAGTCAGAATCAATTTGCGGATCGCATAAAATATAAATATGCTGGTCTCATCGCCAGGATCACTATTGATGTACAATGACCAGACGACGCGATTGCATTCGAAGAAGTGGAAGAAGCAGAGGACAAAGAAATCATCGCGTATAAATTTGAGGAAATGGGTAGAGACAGA